CCGAATCTCGAAGAGAAGAGCGAATCCTCCAGCTGCTAAGACTATTGAACCTGTATTTYGAGAAACGAAAAGTGAGTCTCACCTACATTATATATTTTTGATTATTCTTGGGTTTCATCTTCTTATATCTYGAATTTTCTTTCAGGAGTCTTGCAAAAGGAACCTGCTTTTTACTGTACCAAGAGTAGTGGCTGTGTCGCCGCAAATGCGTCTCATCGAGGTATTTAGAAACTTCAAGATTTGCAAAATCTACGACGGCGACGTCCACTTTAAGTGTTAATAATTTCTCTTTGGGGTTCTGTTCATTGGAGATTTCATTCAAAACATTGTCAGTAAAGTCAACTCATCCACAGGGAAGACAGACTTTGAAGACGCCCGGACACTAAAGTGAAGTTATTTAGACTTCCGGTTGACGTCGCCGTTGTAGATTTTGCAAATCTTCTATTTGTTCCTAAGTTCCTATTGTTTTATGCAGCACGTCGGAATGCAGCTCAATTTGGAGGACATAACAATAGGTTTCCAATTCTCAGGAGATTGGAATCCTTTTGTTTTATTCTTTCAATTAAGTTCCTTTGACGTGACTTGTTAAGGGTCTACGATAAAAGTCTGTATCCCTATCCATCTCTCTCTTTCTCGCTTTCGTTTTTCTCTTTCGATCTCCCTCCCTTTCATCATTCGATTGGAGCCTACCACTGATAAATATCTTTCCACTATCTTGTATTTCAGGACAGTCCTTCGTTCATATCGCTGCGAGAGATACTTGGAAAGGTAAGATATCGTATTCGCGCGTCTCAGAGAACAGGCATCAGCAACAGACGTTGCCAGTGACGTCTCCCAGTTTTGAGCTGCTCATATATTATAATGTCAACTACCGCGCCCACTACCAGAATACCTTGAATATTCTCTTTTACAAATTAGAATAACAAAGTAAATTCGCGAAGCATTGTTGTAGTGGTAGTAAAATGACGCAATCATTCAAACGGCCTACTCCATAACACGTGATGTACTGAGTCTTTTCTATTTATTCTCTCAGCGATGTGACCGCAAGCACCTCGAGTCCGACTCATCCATCGCGCTTTACTACGATCGCCTGGCTGCAGTCCAGTCACGTGGTCTACAAGTCACCCATCAGGTTCTGAGGGACATCCTTCGTGAGATACAAGGGACTATGGTCCCAGAAGTCATGTTAAAAGAATGGGCCCAGTATACGTATACAGACCCTACTGATTATTGGACCTTTAGGAAGCAGGTTAGTTAGAGTTTGATGTGTAGTGACTGTACATTGGGATACTCGATTAGACAGGATGAAAATTTGATCAATGGCTCAAGACGAAACCTGGATCTATCGAGGCTGTTAGATGCGTATGAGATGTGTGACTCGTACCCAGGATGCTCTCTTCACCTATGGCATGACGTCACACTTGTGATTTGACTCTCAGTATCGCATGTATCGCATCCCATTTCAATGTTTTCATTGATTTTTACTTTCTTTTCTCATTAGTTTTGTGTTCAGTTGACTCTACTTGGCTTTGCGGAATTCACTCTTCATTTAACACGTCTGGGACCTGAGATGCTACAAGTAGCACAAGACTCTGGACGCCTCACTGTCACTTACTACAGATTTGAAGTTGACGATTCGAAAGGTTAGTTATGTCTCTGGTTTACAGCGTTTACAGTACCTTCTTAGGCTAGGCGAGCGGGAAGTGCTGAAGGAGACGTTTTTTAATGCCTTCGTATTTTCGAAATTGTGAACTGAATCAAAACTACATTGTTTTTCTTTCCCTAATATAAACCCAAAGACATATAATTAAAGGGTTGCTTTTCGAAATTATTATCTTATTACTAGCGGGAACAATTTATTAGTAACAACGAATATTTAATCGCTTCAGTGATTTTTACCCATATTGCCTTTCGGTCCAGTCGCGTAGGCTTGAGCCAGTCGACGATAACGTTTTTTTAATTGAATGTATATACATATATATAGAGCGTTTTCACTCACGTGAGAAGGCAGCCATAAACAATAGGAACTTTCTGCACAGTATTTGTATAAAAATAGAGTTCAATTCCCGGAGGATATAAAATGTATTGTTTTGGTACACCAACATGGCCGCTGTGACGTCACGTGAAAACGCTCTATATATATACGTTTCTCAGGTAAAGTAAATAGACCTCTTTAGCTTGGGTGTAATGCTTTTCCATTTCACTCCACGTTTAATTCCCTTGAGAATAAGATTCTTCGTTTCAGTCTTATCCATATTCATCTGTCTTCTCATGCGCAACCATAACAAAGAAATCATACTCTAGAATGGTCTAAAATGTGGAAACATTACCTTTGAGGTAGAGAAGTCTATCGTGATTGTTTAAGGCTGAACCAATTATATTTTAACTATTTCAGGTGAACTTGATGCTAATCGTCCAGTCCCTTTTCGCCTCACACCAAACATTGCTGAGTTTGTCACACCTGTGGGCGTTAATGGGGTCATGACCGCGTCCATGGTAGCTGCAGCCCGATGTCTCGTTGAACCTCAGTTTAGCATACAAAGTATTTTACGAGCTGTGCTGAGGGATGAGATGATTACATGGCATAAGAAAGTAAGTGGAGATGTTTGTTAGATGATATCGGGCAGTGTCAATGTGGTGTTGACTAGGATAGTCATGGTGGTGATGGTGATGGTGATGGTGATGGTGATGGTGATGGTGATGGTGATGGTGATGATGATGGTGGTAAAGGTGGTGGTGATTGAGATGAAGATGAGATGATTACATGGCATAAGAAAGTAAGTGGAGGGGTTTGTTAGATCATATCGGGCAGTGTCAATGGTAGTGATGATTAGGATAGTCATGGTGGTGATGGGGATGATGATGATGATGGTAGTGAAGGTGGTGGTGGTGATTGAGATGATGAGATGATTACATAGTCATAGTCATGGTGGTGGTAGTGATGATGATGATAATGGTAGTAAAGGTGTTGGTGGTGGTGATTGAGATGAAGATGAGATGATTACATAGTCATAGTCATGGTGGTGGTGGTGATGATAATGATGGTGATGGTGATGATGATGATGGTGGTGAATGAAGTTTGTGGTGCTGATGACGAGTACAATTCTGGTGATCATAGGACCAACCGATGACTATAGTGAAGATGATGGTGGTGGTGGTTGTGGTGATAATGAATTATTTTTGTTTGATTATTATTAAAGAATGCATGTTTCTTACAGAAACACGATGAAAGTCATCCCCATCCCATAACTGTGTCACCCACAGACATGGACAGCGAACTACTTATAACCCTTGTCAATGGCGCTGTTAACGCTATCATGACTAGACTACAAAGTAAGTCAATTACTTTTTTTCTTTTTTAATAACTTGATGCTTCAACTTGATGCAAAAAAACCCTCAATTTTATCGAACCCTGAAACTACCTCTAGCCTGATCAAACACGGCCAACTCACAGAGTGAATTCACAAATTGACCCCTGCATTTCAGTTGGTGTGCCTGATGTTATGATCACGAGAATGATCGTACATTGTCATTGAATTGTCGTACAAATGTACTAAAACTCTTCCATAGTTTATCGACATCATTTGACTTGATTACTTGATGCTTATCCTTTCACCCTTCTAGTTGTTTAAAATAATGTTTCGAAAAATCCTCGAAAAAGCTGAATAATTGCTATAAATCAAATTGATAAACAGTGCATTTGTACGGCAATTCAAGGACGATGTACGAACTTGTTTGTGACCGTAACACCAACTACACCACGTGCGATCTTGGGGCCAATTGGTGAATTGCTAGATTTATTAGGAGAAAAACCGGAGAACCCGTAGAAAACCCTTCAGTCAAGGGACCCAACAAACTCTACTCACATGTGGTACAGAGTCCAATCGAGCCCTAGAGCCCATAGAAAAACCCTTTAGTCAAGGGACCCACTAAACTCTACTCACATGTGGTACAGAGTCCAATCGAGCCCTAGAGCCCATAGAAAAACCCTCTAGTCAAGGGACCTACCAAACTCTACTCACATGTGGTGCAGAGTCCAATCGAGCCTGAGAGCCCAGAGTTGGAAGAGAGGTACTACCCATATATTATTAACTCATGACTGTTTTTTATCATACCTAGACCTGGCTCAGTATGAAGGAGGAGAGACTAAAGTTTCTACCTTGGTACAGGCTGCTACTAGTCCAGATAACTTGTGTCGTATGGACCCTGCATGGCATCCATGGTTATAGAATGACCACTTAAGCTGCCTAGACTATTCATATAACCCATTGGACTCAGCCCTTATTGATCTCTATAAAAATAACTCAGGAATAAGTAGCATCGACTGCTATAGCCTTGTAATTTGCATGGACCCAGCATGGCTTTCATGTTCCAATAATAGATTTACTTCGGTAGTCAAGTAGTCGTGGTCGTAGACTTGGCCGTGCTTTTCATAACGCTGTAGGCCTTACCGTCTTCTATTAAGGGCTCCCATACATGTAACACACCCATTCCCACTGACTTGTAAACTACTGTTGTCATGTACCCTTCAAACCAATGTACTTCTTGAAGTGCCTCCAACGATGCTTCTAATGCATGAAGATCATGCATACGCCACTTTTATTTTCAAGCATATACGCAACACCGTTGTTTAATTTGTAAAATCAATGCCTCAAGATATTTTTACGTCCACATACCTTCTCTTAAGTTGGATACTTATATAGGATACCAAGAGAAAATAAACTAAGAGAAGGAATTCCCGCGCCCCATCATGAAAACTCTAAGATGCTATTTTTAGAATCTTTGATGCTATTTTTAGAATCGTTAATTTGATCGTTTGTTTTTCAGTACACGCGTACTGAGCGCGCTCTATCCTGTTTGCTCATGTTTTCAAAAACGGTACCTATGATGGTTACAAGCATAAATACCAGAGATTCCTCGTAATTCATTTTCTCTTGAGGATATCCTATGTACGCTAGCTTGTATTATTAGACATTCACATTTTTGTAACAAGTTTTTTTATTTATTTTGTTGTTGTTTATATAAAACAAAGATATTATTARTTAATAAATAAAGATTATGCTGATGAACGCATACCTACGTATTTGTTTTCATATCGAAATTTCTCCTTTGGCGTAATTCACACATCTTTTTTTCAATTAGTCAAATACAGTAGCGTTCGTTCGTTCGTTTTCGTACGCTTCCCGTGACCGTGATTTTTTCTAGAATTTTGAGTGGGGGATTTTTTCTCGCCCAATGTGATTGATCTGGCAGTTCCGTGACATTGGCATGACCGTGTCCACGCTATGTTTTTTTTGTTTTGTTTTTTTGTTGTTTTTTTTTTTTTGGTTTGTTTTGTTTGTTTTTTTGTTGTTTTCTTTTTTTTTGGTTTGTTTTGTTTTTGTTTTTTTTAATATTTGGTTTGGATTAGGGTTTCAGGACATTATAATCAATAATTAATAATCCAATAGTCCCATATCATGTAGTCTTACATGAAGTACTAAATGGCCAATACTGCCATAAGAGGGCTAGACATCTGAAGTCACAATTATTTAGTTATTCTTTTTTTAAGCCAAATATTCATTTAAATACTTCTTCCTCAAAATATTTAAAATGCCTAAAAATATTCTTCTAAATTCCATTTCCAAGCTTTCACATCGATTGTAGCCTGGCTCTGTACTGGTTTTCCCTAGCAAACCAAATATTGGATTTTTTCAATTGTCCTCAAAGGTTGCAGTTGGTTGTCTACTGGAAGTTCTCACACTGTTCATTGAATGCAAGGCCTTCCCCTTTGAGCACCAGGCTCTCTTTCTGCTAGCAGGTTCCCTTGGAGAATCGCCAGTAGTTGTCCAATGGTTAAGGTTTAGGTCAAGGTCTTCCTCTTTGAGCTCCAGGCTCTCTCGTTCTGCTAGCAGATCCTCTTGGAGAAGCACCAGGGCTTCTAGATGTGCTAGGACTGCCTCCACTTGCTGTGAGCTTTTTGGGTGGAATATGTTTCACTCTTGACCACTCCCTTTCAGCTTTTCTCTGTGGATACAAAGTAAAACCAGTTAGTTTTTTTGAGTGAATTCTTGGTTTATCGTTTATATGTTTGACCCATAAAATCTAAGAAGTATGGATGCATGAAATGTGATGCGGAACCCGGGCCCCCTCCCCACCCTGTTTGAGGGTGCTAGCTTAATGGTCCTTGATATTCAAACTCAAGTGTGGCAGATATTTAATGAAATAAATTGACCATCTTACCCTTTCTTGATATCGTTTTTCAAACCATGCCATATCTCGTTCCTCTTGAGTCATCCCAGCCATAGCTCCATCCTTTCTGTCTTCTAATGACAGTTCTGCCATATTTGCATGTGCCTTCAGGAATGCATGGTCATGTGGGCCTGTTTGGGGTTTTGCCAAAGAGATAAAGGAATTTCAGAATATGACAACATTTATACAATAGACACCCCAATTCAGTGACCCTTTGGAGACTAACAAATGGCCACTAAATTGAGGTCATTTTAAAAATAGATTCTACTGTAATTAAAAAATTCTAAAATGTGGAATACCCCCTCCCCCCCCTCTTTTATTTTAGGTAGGATCCACCCCTGGTGTTAAGACCAGCATGCATAGCTATAAAATACCTATAGGTTGTTCAAGAAACTCTTTAGGTGGAGGTCCAATACCACTGTCGTCTAGTCTCATGTACCCTTCCATCAGTGAGCTAAAGCCAGTAATGCCACCCATGGCTGCATAAGGCACATCTTCACCAACAGGATGTCCTCGTGCTTGGCGCTCCTCTTTTGTCTCAATAATCATCTGCAGGTTGCAAAAATGAAAATGTTTAATCGTTTGTGGATAAAGACCTTGATTCAACAGGTACGACTTCAAAGATTTTAGCATCTACTTTCAGGGATTCGTTCACACCCTACATACATATCCGACCAGTTGAAACAAAACTAAAGATGCAACATCTAATGTCAAACTAGTAGATACCAGTGGAGCAGAACATTGGGAACAAATTAAAGCAAATACCTCTGTGTCTTTGTTTGGTTCATGAGTTACAGTGTGAATCAAAAAACCATGGGCATTAGAAATTTTCCAGGAATGTTCTATGTTTTATTTATTTTTTTATCTTTTTTGTCAACCTAGATAATTTGAACTTTTCATCTTTTACATTTTTACATAATAATGATGTTGACTTTTCAGTAACGAGCTGGTTTCGATATTCAACCTCCAAATTCTCTTTTTGCATATTATTGT